GAAATATTTCCATTTTCATGTGTTGTTACTACAAAATGAAACCTGCTACAATTGCGTAACTTGTGTAAATGTTTACTTTATCTTTATTTTATATTACGAGGGTGAATTAAATATAAACCGGACTCTTATTTTAGTAATTTTATTGGTATAGTAAATACAAGTTTATTTACATCTTATTTTTCTAAATAATCTCATCTCTTATTGATGCATTTTTCCCATCGCATCGAAAGTCTTTCAATTCCCTCATTTGAATGAAGCTGGTCGTGTCAGTGGCCAATTGTGCACCAACGTTTCCACACCTTCGTCGTAGTCTAAGTGGGGACCTCTCAGGTCTTCTTTAAGTGGCCCAAATATGTGATAGTCACGTGGCGACAAATCGGGTGTGTAAGGCGGTCGTTCAAGCGTTTCCCCAATGAATTTCGCTTAATTTTTCTTGGGAATGGCACTTCAAATAGGCTTCTTTGGTATTTTTCTTTAAGCAGTTGTCAGTAGTAAGCAGCATTAACTTCACGGCGATCGTGAAGAAAATCAACTAGCAGTACACATCTGGAATTCCAAAATACCGTTGCAAGAACTTTTCCTGCAGAAAGACTGGTCTTGACTTTTCGCGGTGCTGCCACTCTATGGACTTTTTTTTTCCAGTCGTAGACTTGCGTCCTTCAGGGTGTCTTATCGTGGAACTGTGCTGTTAATCGGCACAAAATTTCCGGAGGTTTTACGCCCTCCCGCAACAAAAATTTTATGAAAATGCGTTGCGCAACAGACGTGTACACCTCTTGCTCAGACATGATGCTACTAACAGCTCAGCTACTTCGGCGCGACAAACCGACTGACTCCCCTCTTCCTGACATCCTCACCCAACATATACCAAGGCATCGCCCCACTCGCCAAGTCCCTTTCATTCTTGATTCACCCTCGTATTACTATCAAAAAATTACGTGTCGTGGGGCCGAATACGAGGCAAAAAATTTGCCGACCGTAATGACTATGAGACTCAGAATTGGTTGACCCACGAAAGGAATTTTGTCCAGATCACACTCAACTTTTTCATAGAAAGCCTAAACAAATAGACGACATTGTAGATCAAAGTCTTCATTTTCAACTCATCCACATATGATATGACCACCCTGTCTGAACCACAACAGACCAAGGAAAATATACAAAACAGGATTACCTCAGAAAGACTACCCTTGCCATATCGTACACGCAATCCCATTAGCGGTGAGTGGATTTGCACCAGCGGCTTTTCCAGCGTTTCCACGTTTCCTCGATGAATATATTTAAAAAGCATTAGTACGTTGTTTTCTTGCTTGCGGTCGAAACCGAATCCGCAAGTAAGCGTCACGCTTTCATACAAAATGGGGTGTGTTTTAGCACTATGATAATATAAGGGTGTGGTCAGGGTTGACCGTAGGTGTAAATGAACTTTGAACTCACTAGTGAGGGTAAAACAGCGTTATACAGGTGTTATAATAGAAGTTTGTATTATTTTGATATATCAGTGACTTCGGGCAATAAGCCACATTGATTTAAAATGCTACAATATTTTGAGAATCGAAGCTTTTGTGGCATCAAATGCGAAAAAATACAGAGTGTTTCAGTTCATTGTTGCATAACTTTAAGATTCGATAGAACTTTTAAAACTAATGCATAAAGTCTATATAAACATGGGTCGAAAAATGCGTGGCTTCTGAAATACAAGGTGTTTAAATTTACTTTCTAAAATAGTTTTTTTTTAATATTTCGAACAATATTTGATGTATAACAGTGAAAATTGGTATATAAGGGTTTTTTGGTACGACAAAACGAACCATGGGCATAGTTTTACTGTAGCCGCTAGAGGACGCTCTCTACTGTACCTGTAGTGTATTAAAATGACCGAAAATTTTTTCTTAGTGCAATTTTTTTCTTCTTGAATAAAAAAACTGATTCTTCGCACTTTTCAACATAAAAAAGCTTTCTTGAGAATTTTCGTTATAGTTAGCCGTTTTTGAGATATTTCGATTTTTAAGGTTCGATGCATTTTTAATTATTTATGATAAAATAACGTTAAAAAGTCAGTATCTCGATAATTTTTAGAAGTAGGCTGTGCCTGCAAATATTTTTAAAATTGAAAGCAGAATAAGGTTAAACGTCAATTAGTTGACATTTAGTTTAGTTGTCTGTTGAAACCTGAAACGTTTTTTTGTGAATGCACGAAATTTAATTTCTTTTACCTTTTTTTTGTAAGTTTTATAAAAAATGCCATTTTTATTCTCCAATCAAGAGTTAGCGGATATTTATTTTGTGTATGGCTTTGTAAATGGAAACGCAGCAGAAGCAGCCAGAGAATACGCACGAAGATTTTCAAACAGACGCTCAGTATTTCTAAGAGTGCATCGCCAAATAATTGAAAATGGTTTTGGAAATCTCCAAAGGGATCAAAACATAAATGTTCGTCAGCGCAGATTTACCCGTATGATTCTGCGTGAGTTTGATAGAGATCCGACCACAAGTGTTAGGAGAGTTTCTGGTGCGTTGGGAATTTCAGCACGCCATGTTCACCGTGTTCTTAGAAATGACACATAGACGTCCTTACCATTTGCAACCTGTGCAAGGACTACAGCCAGGGGACGGAGAACGAAGAATCACATTTTGTCAGTGGATTCTTGATAGAACTGATAATAATAGGGAGTTTTTAAGTAACGTTTTATGGACAGATGAGTCATGCTTCACTAGACGTGGAGTGGTAAATTATCATAATCAACATATTTGGTCGCATGAAAATCCGCACGCAGTTCGGGAAAGAAATTTTCAGCCTGAATTTAGTGTGAACGTGTGGATTGGTATCTACCGTAATCGACTATTTGGACCCTACCTTTTGCCTGCAAGGTTAAATGCTGCGACCTTCTTGGAATTTGAACATGCAAATATGTGGGATGATGTTATCTTAGATTTAGGAAGATTGGTCTGGTTCCAGCTTGATGGTTGTCCAGCTCATTATTCGAGAATAGTTAGAAACTGGCTGGACGAAAATTATCCAGAAAGATGGATCGGCTGTGGAGGACCAGTCGCCTGGCCTCCACGATCCCCTGATCTAAATCCATTAGATTTCTTTGTGTGGGGATTTCTAAAAGAAAAAGTGTACCAGATTCCCGTAACCACAAGAGATATGCTAATAGACAGAATCAGGAATGCATGTGATGAAATAAGGCCTTATTTGAATAATGTTATACCACGTTCGATCATTCGTAGATGTGAATTTTGTATTGAACAATTGGGTTTACATTTCGAGCAACTACTTTAGCTTGTGTATGTTTGTCCTAACTATCCAATAGCGTTTTAGTTGTAAATAATTAATTTAATTTGTTAAAAATAATATTGGAAAATTAAACAAATTAATATTCTGTTTTTTTTTGTGTATATTTGGAGTTAGGAATTATTGCTGTGTTTAAAAACACAATCTAAATGATCATCTTAAATACTTGTAATGCCCAAATCGAAAATGTAAAAAAAATATTATTTTCCCATAAATAATTAAAAAAGCATCGAACCTTAAAAATCGAAATATCTCAAAAAAGGCTAACTATAACGAAAACTCACAGGAGAGCTTTTTTATGATGAAAAGTGCGAAGAATCAGTTTTTTTATTCAAAAAGCAGAAAATTGCACTAAGAAAAATTTTTCGGTCATTTTAATACACTACAGGTAAAGGAGAGAGCGCCCTCTAGCGGCTACAGTAAAACTATGCCCATGGTTTGTTTTGTCGTACCAAAAAACCCTTGTATACCAATTTTCACTATTATACATCAAATATTGTTCGAAATATTAAAAAAAAACTATTTTAGAAAGTAAATTTAAACACCCTGTATTTCGGAAGCCGCGCATTTTTCGACCCATGTTTATATAGACTTTATGCATTAATTTTAAAAGTTCTATCGATTCTTAAAGTTATGCAACAATAAACTGAAACACCCTGTATATATATATGTATATAAGTTTTGCTATATCAGTGGCTTGCTTGGGGCAATAAGCCACATTGATTTAAAATGCTACAATATTTTGAGGACCGAAGCTTTTGTGGCATCAAATGCGAAAAAAAAATAATGCATTTTCCTGAGATGAATTTATTTTTGAAACTACTGTGATAAAATGTTGCACGACAAGAAGATATCGAATATACTGAGTGACAAAACGTAAACACCTACCTATGTTCATTAGAATTCAAGAATTTTTTACATATCGATCTTGCCATGAACAACACGTAATAAAATTGTCAGGTTTTTCTGTTAAGTTTTTGTGGTGGCTCCGTGTATTGCTTGGTGATAAAAAAGCATTCAATTGTCGTACATTTACCTTCCACATACTTTGTCAGTTCTTACTCACAAAGTCGCAGTAGCCGGGAATGAGATACCCCAACAGGATATCGACCACCTTATCAGCAAGATGACCAGGCGTGTCAATGAGCGTATATGAAATCGTGGATCCTCAACACATTATTGAACCAGCTTTTGCAGTCAGTTGACGAATCAAGCTGAAAATTTAATCATAGTAAAGGGTACTGAACGGATATGCCAAAAATTATTAAAATCGGATAAAGATACGCAGGTGCTTACCTTTTTTGTCACTCAGTCTAGTAGAGATTGATGGTGTGAGGTCTGCAAAGATGAATATATTGGTAGCGGAGCCACAAGGTTCTGTCTTTGGCTCCATAACCTTTCTCATAATATATTAACGATCTCTCAAATAATGGGATGATGTCCAATGATGATCCCTCTTTGCAGATTACACATCGATACTCTGATGGAATTGCAACAGTCAACAGACCTGGACTGAAAAAAGCGAAATTTTGGTTTTATTCCAACAAGTTGTTGCTAAATGGTGAAAACACTGAGCAAATTCTGTTCTCTACTAGAGAAATAAACATCCAAAATGGAGATCAAGTTAGTTTTAGGTGTGATGCTTGACCCTAAGCTGCAATGGAAAAGCCACATTGATTTTCTATCCATAAAACTTTCTAAGAATATTCATGTCCTTCACAACTATTGCAAGAAGTGCCAAATGTACTCCACTCCGTATTTGTTACTTCTCACTATTTTAGTCGCACATGGCATATCGCAATTATTTTATGGACCGGAGCGGAGCGCTCAGGCAGCTAAGTGCTTGGTGCAGAGAAGGGTTGTTAGATTGATGGTAGGGCTGAAATACAGAGATAATTGCAAGTATGAAATTGAAGCTGCTGACTGTGCCAAGTCTGCATGTGTATGAGTGCTTGTTGTTTGCCAAGACAAAAGGAGATCTATACCAAACCTTCGAAAATGATCACGAATATATTACCAGAAATAAGAGAAATTTGATCCCTATGTATTGGCGACTGAGAAGGTGTCAAGATTATCCAGTGTTCTGGGCAATTAAATTTTTCAACAAGTTGCCACTAAGGCCCGTTTCGTCAGTCGTCCCTACAATTGTAGGGCGCCTTTATGGCCTCCTTGATTGTCATAGTTTTCTACTTCTCCGTGTCAGAACTCTATTTTGAGGTTATGTCACAAACATCTATGTGCATTAAATTGTGCTTGCTTTTGAGTTACATCATGTTTTATCATCCTGAAATTTCCTACAATTTAAAAAGAAAACATATCTTCACAATAGGAGAGCGCTGACGCTGACACGGGACAAGTGTAATCTAGAAATTTTTGAAGGAGAGAAAGGAGTATGACAATCAAGGAAGCCATAAACGCGCCCTACAATTGTAGGGACGACTGACGATACGGGCCTTAATCTAAGATTAGTGGCTTTGAATGAGCTTAAGATGCTTATTAGAATTTTTTTGATCCAAAATGCGGAGTAACACAAATTAATCGTTAGGTGAAATGGGTGGTACGTTTAAGGATAATAAAATTCTGGAAAATATATGTGCCGATATAAAAAGAGTTAAGTCATCATTTACAAAAGCATCACAGTACGCTATAGTGGTACGTACTCCTACTATCGAAATATTGCTAAAATATATGACTATTTCCCTGTACATAGGACTTTTATCCTTTAATTTTCCCGTTGCTACCGGGATCAAAAGCTTCTTAATGATACCGCCTTTGACTAATACAAAAGACGTTACGTTTACTAACCCCTACAATCCCCAAGCTTCAACGCCTACGAAAATGATCAGTCGAAAGTAGAATCTCATTTTCGAAATTTTTTGCGATTGCCCCACCAGGAGGCGTGAAAAGCAAGTTGCCAGTTTTGGCATAGGAAGTAAAATGAGAATGTTCCTCGGGACGGAATAGGGTCAAAAACAACTAAAGTAAATCAAATTCGGACATGGATGCCTACGGCACGGGTGCTTTTGGATGGGAATGTGGCTCTTTCATTCAAATGTGGAAGCGGAACCTTATTGCCCCAAGCACTGTGTACCTTCTAGCTAGGGTCATGCCAGCTAGCTTTACTATTTCCTACTAAAATAGACTTTAAATAACTCTTTATAGAATGCATAACGTAACAGACGTCACTGTTAAACGTAACGACGAGTATGTAACTGGTTGCAAGCGTTGTGGTTTTCACTACTATAACACGCACAGCCGCATCCTCTTTCGTCAGAATGGTACGAGAGGCTATTCCAAATTAATCATGTGACGTTGATTGACTTCTTTGAATCGGCCGCTTTGTTTCAAAATCGCCAACTGAATCACCACGCCCATCCACAATTATGTTTTCCTTCTCGATTCGTTCTGGTCAGGGATGTATTCAGGGTATCAGTTGCCAATAATAGCAAAATCTCTCAATCGTCTCTGATAGCAGCGACCGCGCCGGTTGGTGATTTGTCTCTTTTCTACTGCTATGCTAATGGATTTTGCTCCATTGTCTACGAGATGGCATAACTGGAATCTCAATATGGCGTTCCGTCTCTTGTCCTCCAGCACCTTTAGTTTTCCTTATAGATGCCGTCTTGGATTTCTGCGCATATGAATAGTTTTCAATTCTGATTTTCCAAACCTTAGTTATTCCAGAAAAACCAGAAGTTTCTAGGTAGGCCTTCAAATTATCTGAATTCACTCGTTTCGTATACCAGTCCAGACCTAAAATTGAACATAGCAATAGAGTACGAAAGACTGATAAGAAGAGAAATAAATCGAGCAGTGAACAATAGAGAAGAGGCACGCTTTACCTACAAAATAATGAACAACATTTTGAACATCTGCTACGACTGACCTCTGCTTATCATTGTTGTTAGTTATTACCATCAATAAAGTTTTCATTTTGAGTTCAGGTTACACCATACCTTGTTATTTCCTTATAATTTCCATCGAACAACAAATACATGGCCAGAAACGGATGTACAAAATTTCAATATAGCGTCCATATGAAAAAACAAAGTTGGTGATGGAAGTCGAAAGAAGAAATGTCGAACTGAAAATTTGACTACGCCATCTTGTAGGGGAGAATAAGTAACAATGCCAACATGCAATTTATTTTGGAATCCCACCTCAAATAAAATCAGGAAAAGATAAAAATCATTTTGAGATAAATCTAGTATGCGAAACAAATGACTATCTGACTTTAAAAAAAAATAAAGTTGATGCTGGAGGACGAAACGTCATATTGAAACTCTAGTTATGCCATCTTATAGAAGAGAAAAATTGGCAATGTTAATGTGCAATTTATTTTGAAATCCCACTACAAATAAAGGAAAAAACTAAAATGATTTTGGGAAAATTTGTTTTTCTCCGTGTATTGAATTTCAAAACTTTATAATCGGCAAATATTTTTTTTTTATTAAAGAATTGCCTTTATAATAACTTTTTTATTTCCAAGTTTCGAACATAATATATGTGATATTTGCAATGACATTTTTAGATATTTAATAATTCGGGTTGCTAACTAATTTTCCGATTTGTCATTGGGATTAAGAAACTGCTCCGCGCATTAGTTGGCGCGATATTTTCCGAGAAACAGGAAAAGCTTTTAGTTCTATTCTTGCGGTTACATTACACTGGGGGCTTGTCATTAGCACATGTTTTTTCCCAGCATTTATTTTTGTTTAGTTGAGGATATGATTCATGTAAGCGGGCAACAGATGGTTCTCTTAAACGCCGCAGTTGAAAGACTTAAACATGCATAAGATTGATTTATAACCTATGGATATTACGGACTCGTTTCTCGGAAATATCTTATGCGGAGCAAAGTTGGTTGAGAAACCTTAAAATTCAAGTCATACTACTGCAAGAGAGCACTAAAAGTTTTCTTATATGTAACCTCGATCTAAATCCGTTGCGGTACGAAGCTTGTTCAATCGAAACTCATTTTTGGTACAGAAAAAAATTATTGGCAAATATATGGGGTTGTCCAAAACGGACGCAGGAAAGTAAACGCATATTAAAACAAGAAAGATTGATATTCAAATCAAGTTGGGTATTTTATTTTGAAGGTTCATTTATACCATTTATGTATGAAAAATAATATCGCTCAAATGTTCACCACGACTGGATTTACAGACGTCCACGCGATGGTCGAAATTTTCAATGACATTTTGCAACATGGTCGGTCCTATGGCATTTATCTCGGCAATGATGTTGTTTTTGGGTTCTTGGAGGGTGGCTGGTTTGTTGACATATACTTTGCTTTTCAAATATCTCCATAAAAAGAAGTCCAAGGGAGTCAAATCGCACGATTTTGGTGGCCATGGCACATTTCCTCTGCGCGAAATCACGCGATCACCGAAGAAGGACTGCAATCGATGGATATTGACGTTGGTTGTGTGGCATGTTGCACCGTCTTGTTGGAAATAAACATCGTCCAGAGCCTGACAGATTTGCCACAGAACCTGTTGCCTCGAATTTATGCACCAGACGACCGATGGTTGTTTCGTTTGGGCAGTTGTTGCGACCGAAATGTGCACGAAGCGCGCGAAACGTGTTTTTTATTTTTGCACCACTTTTGTAGTGCTCTTGAATAACTTTAATGCGGTCTTCAATCGAATGCGACTCCATAGCGATCAATGGTAAACATTCAACTAACAAAATGACATGTCGGTGACAGAAAACAAAGATGGCGTCTATGTCAAATTGACGTTTACTTTCCTTTACAACCCTTTACATATTTACAAATAATAACCACTACCGTTGAGGCACATACCCTATTGTTTCACCAATCGATGAATAAACTGCTTAAAAAATTATTGCGACTGCTGCGTGAAGAATTGTTGTACAGCATTTAACGCCTTTTTCAGTGGCCCAAAAATGTGAAAATCGCAAGGCGATAAATCGGGACCATAGGGTGCATGCCCTAATATCCTCCATTTCTTTCGTTGTAGATTTTTTGTACTACTCTCGCAACATGACGCCGAGCATCGTCGTGCAGAAGGATGACACCACGTGAGAGCTTCTCTGGACGTTTTCGTCTTATTGCTTGACGGAGATTTCACTATACAGGTTTGCGTTGATATGGACTCCATTCCTTGACAGATGGATACCCAAAACATGCGTTTCCATACACTGCTTGCATTCGCGATGAATTTGCAGTTGGTACAAACCTTCAGAAAACAAAAGTTGAATGACCGCACGCTGATTACAAACCCCATTTTTAGGTAACAATACTTAAAATCGCAGTCAAATACAAATGACAGTATCTGCTCAGTGTGATGTTTACAAACACAACTAACATTGCAACACGTCAATTAAGTGATTAGAATTGTTTCTAAGGCTAACCTGACCAAAGATGGGTTTCAATTGAACGAGCCTCGTAGGTTAGGTGTCTGTTGAGAGACCCATTTTTTTTTAAATAGTATACAATTAAACTAGAATTAAACCAAAGAATAATCGATGAAGTAGTCAAAATGGTGTGCCTAGTTTTTTAATAAAAGCAAAACCGCTTTGCATGATCTACAATATGATATTATTAACATGCTCTTACCCTGGTATCTGGGAAATGACCAAGGTATGTCATGTCTTTAATAGTGGCGATAGAAGTAATATTTGTAACTATAGGCAGATTGCGATACTTTGCAATTTTGGTAAGATTTTTGAGGTTATTATTTATAATACCATTTTCAACTCTTTAAATGTACTTTATCTCCTAACCAGCATGGTTTTGTTGTATTAGATGACCAGGGTCAGTTGGATGTCATTTATACCGACATTCAAAAGGCCTTTGATCAGATTGTTCATTACTTGCTTCTTTATAAGCTTGAAATGATTGGGTTGTCTAAATCTTTATTGAAGTTGATCAGATCATATTTATTTGATAGAAATCTGTACATTGAGTTTGGTGGTTTT